GAGCAGAACATGGGCTGCTCAAGCCTGAACAACAAAACAAGGACAGCAATGAGAGAGTGAAAGGTGAGCACAAATATAGAAGACAACAGCAGGAGGACCTGTTAGCTCCTGCTATCTCAATTCAGCCATGGAGAAGGTGAAAACAAACCTGGTTTGTAATGTCACAGACTATATATAGTTTACTGCTTTAGTTTCTGGGATATGAACTGTCTGAAAGGATACTCAATAGAATATATTTAGACTGCAGACCACTATGGTGCAAAATTGAAATTGGAGCACATGACATCTTCCTCTTGAGCCCCCACAAAGCCTGGGGAGACAGTGTTAACAATTGAGATGCTCAGAAATTTGTCAATCGTGTATTTTTCTAAAAATCCCAATCCTTCAGAATGGTTTACCAATTCCATTCATTTCTTTCAGTCTGTCTGTGTCTGTGAGTTCTCCACAGCAGTGTGCACACAGACTGCCAAGAATCAGGAGGGCTTTTTGGGCCCTGCAGTACCTGGACTGTCCAGAGCCTGCATCCCAGAGCTGCCCTGCTGGGGAGAGACAAGAGTGACTCCCAGGTGAGCAGGAGCCTGAACTGAAGGTGCCAAGGCCTGATCTCCATCTGCAGCTCTGCAGTCCCAGCATCAACTCACAAAACAGGAGACAACTGCTTAAAGAAATTAAAGGTAATTGTTGTGCAGTGCAAGAACAGGAAGCTCAGGATGTGAACCAACAGCATCTGAAGAGTTCCAAGTAACTCTACACAGGACTCAGAAAATTATCTCTGAGCAGCAAAAGCAGCAAGATGTTAGCCCTCCAGAAAAACCCCACAGAGTGAGACACCTACCCCCAGTAACAAACATGAATGAGGAGAGGAGCATCAAGATTAACTTATGGGAATTACTAGATGACTTCAAATATCTCACTAAGTGGCTGTGACCTCAAAGAGGATAGAAAATAAATCAGGTCCAGCAAATCAGAACAAAGACAGCAGCAGCACTAAGGTTAAAAGGACTGATCTAGGTGAACATCAAAGCTGTTCAGCTCCAGAAAGCAAAAGCCTGAAGGAAGTACAGGTGCCTTGATCTTCAGGCACACATTAGAGCACTCCTGTCACTGCCTTTCCTAAGAGTCCAATTAACTTCAGAGAAAAAATGCCTCATCTTATTGCTTGAGCACCAGCTCCCCCCTCCACTGAACCTCTGAGCAATAACAGATTTCCAATCAATCTGTAAGAACATGCAGGGCACTGTTGCAGAGCTGCCTGGGGTTAGAGTCCTTCCACAAGAGCCCAGCCAGCCGAGCCAGCCCCTGGTTTGAGAGCAGCAGGCACAGCACAGTACCCCAGGTACTGCACAGGAGGCTCCAGCCCACAAACACACAAACAACAGATTCCCCCTGCAACCACTGACCTCAGAACTTACACACACCCACCAGATCCTGCTGGGACAGGCTCAAACCTGACCTGCAGGCTGACACTGGGAAAAGAGAGCTCTCCCTAGGGTTAACATTAAACTTACACATTAGAGCAGTTCTCACCAGCTTTACTAAGAATTGCACATGTGGTCCAAGACTATTCATCCTTATGTGTTCTCTGCCAGTCCCAGCCTCCAAAAGCATCCTTCCCTTTGCAATGCTCCATGAATTTGAGTACTAGCTTTGTGAACAAAACAAAGGATGATTTTCCAAGAGATAAACATAATGAGTTTGGTAAACTGGCCAGAGTGATGTAATCCAATGCGAGACATCCAAAACAAAGTTGGTTTTGACTGTTAGTGCACCGAGGACAAGGAAAACCAATAAATCAAAATAAAGCTAAGATAACTTTTACCTGTGGACCTCAATGTGTTTCCAGAAGAGAAGCACCATTATCACTAATTTCACAGAATAGGAAATTGAAGTAATGAATATGAAAGAATTATTCAGTCACCCAACAGATCAATTACAGAGAAACAAGATATTCTGAATCTCATTATAGTCTTCATTGCAAAACACTAACTCTGATCTGCACAGAGCCAAGCCACAGAATGCCATGGAGACAGATAACTGCAGTACTGACTTATTTGCCCCAAGACATGACTAGTCAAAAAAAACCTAGCTCTTTTGTTTTTATGGTTCTAGGGCCACCTTCTGTAGTCCTGAAAATATCTTTCATTTGCACTCCTTCAGAAAAAAAGCAAGAGAAAATCTCACATATTTCAGGCTGTTTATTACCTTTAACAAAAAGCTGAAAATGAACAACTTAAACACATCATTACCTCTTCAACAAGAACAACAGATGAGCAGCATATTCAAATGAACAGACCAAAACATTTTTCTGCTATGTTGCCATAAATAGACAACAAAACATGCAGTCACTAGGATATGAAATCTGTCTGGTCAACTGAGCCTGTTTCTTATGCAATATATGATTAAAAAAAAAATCATCATACTCTTGCCTATTAAATCCATTACATGTTGTTACATTAGAGGAATTTAAAGCTTTGGAACAATATACTAATTATTGAAATTAGTAAAAATTTTGTCCGTTCTTCAACTGAGCCAGAATTCAGTTTATTACTGTTGATTTAGTTCATTTACATCATTGGCTCTTTAAAAAACAAAGATGATTATGAATACAGGCTGTTAAAGAAAAGCCATTACAGCTATTGTTGAACAAAATACATGAGGAAATCCTTTCTTCAAAATTTTGAAAGAGAACAGTTTCAAAAAACCCACAACAATCTGATGCATTCGAATTAAAATGCAACTCCTACAATTAATTTTTTTTAATTTCTTGAACATTATTATATGCCTATGGAATTCTTTTTAAAGTTGCTTAAGTACATTTTCTGCTACTACTCTTTTCAGCAGCTCAAAAAGTAGGTAAATGCAAACAGGCTGCTGAAAACAAATACTTTTCCTAGACTTTCTGCCACGGTAGCAACTGAAACTGAAGCTCAGAGGCAGCTTGAAGCACAGTGGGTTTTAATGGGTAGCTTACAAAGGTAGAAAAGCAGATTCCCATCCTCCCTTCACCAGTGGTGTCTCCACAGCTCTGTGCTCACAGGGTCTGTGCTCTGTCCATCAGGGCTCCAGCTCTGGGGAGAGCTCTCTTCTGCTTTGCTCCTCAGACCTGTGCACTGTGGGGTTCTGATCTCACAGCTTTCCAGGATGACCCCAGAGCACCCTCTGAGGCACTGAGTGCCACCACTCAAGGTGATTGCACTGCTTCTACCACAGGTCAGATGGGCTCATGCAGAACTTGGCTGCTCATGAAATCACCTCAGGGTCATCCTGCCCAACAGAGTCACTGTATAAAACTCACAGAGCTATGGCAAGCAAAGCAAAAAGCACTAACAACCAACCTCCACATAATCTGAATGTCAGTGTGCCATCCTATACAACAAATATTCCAGTCAGAACGAAAGTTTGAATGTGCCAAGGCTCCCATGAAAAGTAAATTTATTCACAAAGGCAAAGCTTGCAGTCATCATTTCAGAAACACCTCCTTGAGGCTGGCAGGTGTTTTGCAAGCCAACAGGCTGCACAAGCTGGCCAAGAATGTCAAACACACACAGCACGTTACAAAAGGCACAGAAACCAATTCTGTGCCATCCAGAAAGTTTTCAGTTTCAAACCAGGCTCACAATACAGCACTAAGGAGTCCCTTACCGTAAATCTCTTTATGTAATCTGAAACACAAAATCCTCCCACGCTCAAACGCAGGGATCTGTGCAGGGCAGATTCTTGATACAAAGTCCCCATTCTGTTTGTCTTGTCTGGTGGTCACCCTGGTAGCCTGCAGCCTTTCACTGAATAAAGCTGCACAGCCTCCCTGGATCTTGCTAGAATTCTGCTTGTGTGATAAACCAGGCATTTCATCTTATCTGACACTACACCAGGCATTTCAGTCATTTCACTGCCTTATCACAGTACTAAGTTCTATCCATATCCCAGCAGTTCACTTCCTGAATCACTGATAACAGATACTCCAGGGCACAGAAACAATACAAGATGACAGCCAGACCTCTGGAGCCACTGAGCAGTCCCTTCTCTGCATTTCTTTGTTCCTTCACTTATTTTAATCCAATTTTACGTTGCTCTAGTTGTAACTTAAGGACAGCATGTTGGCTTCAGCCAAGCAGTGACAAGACTGTAATTTATCCAAGTGCTATTCTATTTTTCAGTGACACTGATAACTGCTGCAGGATATTGCCTTCAACACAACACAAATCTAACACGTGGGAATTTCTTGCATGCTCAATTTCTTAAGCACAGGAATAGAGGGAACAATGAATGGACTCAAAATGACCATTCAGAAGGGTTCATCCTCCCTCAGAATTCACACACCTATTATGCCTTAAGCACTATCTCTACATGCACACAGAGCCATTCCCTTCAGTCTCTAAACACCTCACTTACTTGCACAAGTGTATGTTGCCATGAAGGCCATGTAGGCATATTTATGAACCCCTTAGATCCAGGATCTTTAATTTCTACCTACACAGTTTAATATGCAGCCACAATGCACCCAAATGATGCTCCTCATGCATTTGATTCTCAGCCAATGAATTCCTTTTTATTTTGCCCTGTGTAAGATATGCTTTTTTTAAAATAGAGTTCTTACCTGTAAGTTTGTGTCCATGGAGGACAAACACACAAACACAACAGATACTAAGATGCTGGATGACCTAAGAAGGAAATTAGTTCTAGAGAAGTAGAAGGAAATCTGCTTTCAGTTTTAATCTTTGTTTTCCTCTTTCACTCAGCCAACAAGCTGTAATAGAATTATCTCTGATTACAAGCTGCAAGTGATCTAGCATTAAGATGAATCCATCAGGCATGGGCACACAAATGACAGCCTCTCACTATGGCCCTGCCTTTGAGCAGGTGGACAGGAACCTCAGGCAGCAGGAGCAGGGCTGGCATGGGCCACATCTTCACTGCTTCAATCCCAACAGGAGTGTGTTGTGTGCACAGGCACCCTGCCCTGAAACAGTCAGGCCAGTGATGGAGGCAAGATACTGTACCTTTAGCATTATGATCTAAGAGATGTCAGGTCCAGATGTGGGGGTACAGAGCTGGCTGCCCCTCTCACAGCAACAACAAGTGGTGTGTTTCCAGCTGGGTTTGTACAGCAAAGTAACAAATATGCTGTTAAAAAATGAAATTAAACCAATATAAGTACAGACAAAACCAGAATCAGGTGAGTGAGGAACTCTTGCAGGGCAAAGGCCAGGGAGGAGATGGCCATGCCTGGCAGGGAATGTTTTTCAGGCTATTTAACAAACAAGTACAGAACAAGGGTTGCCTGGGGTGACTTAAGCACAGCTCTAGAGATGTTAGTAGTGTAACTACTGCTAAAGGGACATAGGAACCTGAGGCTGCCTCACATGCTGGACTTAAACCTCCAGAGATGAGACCAGTCTCATCTCCCAGACCCCTGAGTAATGCCGAACTCCATCTCTGTGCCTTGGCTTTTCCACCTGTAAAACAGAGTTAAACCTTTCCTAGCTCATAGAATATTTTCACAGCTTTAAGACCTATTGTTACCATCCTGCCTTTTAAAGGGCAGGAGTAAACTATAAATTCTAGGTCCAAACTGCCCCAGGATTTTTAAGACACATGAGCTTGGTGCATGCAGTGGCACAGGAATACTGGTGAAAGCCCTGCCCCTGCTGAGCCATCCCACAGGGACAGGGCAGGGATGCTGCTGGCCTTGTGGCAGCACCTCCAGCAGCATTCCTGGCACTGGGAACAGCACCCAGCCACTCTCAGAGGAACGGGAGACCATCCCCATGGACACCAAGCTCTTGAACATGGCCTTCAGCTTTTTTACTACCATGTAACTGATTGTGGGAATTAAAGACCCCCATTCCAGTACCTAAGAAAAGAACAAATACTGGAACTGCTCAAGAGGTGCAGGGCTTAACAATGACCTTAGACCCAAGGGAGGGAAAGAAGTATTTTTATATATTTGTGACTTCTTCCAATAGCACAAATAACCATGTAGTTACTCTAGATTTAGTAAAGAGACACTATTACTTCATGTGGCAGCAGAGGCATGTACAGCATGCAAGCACCATGCCACAGGGGAAAGCTTGCATGACAAAGAGAATCCTTTAGAAACTTTGGCAAGAACTCTGGAATGAGCAATGCTCAGCCTGCAACCTTCCATTAGCAGATCTAAATACAGAACCATAGTGTAAAACAACACCTTCCTGCAGTATTTGCATTCATTAATATTAAGAATATAATTATTATTATGAGTTTCACTGACTGCATTTTTTTTCCATTTAGGTTCTGAAAAATAATTAATTTGGAGCTTCTCTTTCCCTCAGTTTAATCTCCAATCTCACAATGTCAGTTCTGGACTGTGTGATTCTGTGAGTATTAAAAGGCATCGATTTAGTAGCAACTATGTAACTTGCAATCCCCAACAAGGAAACACTCCACTTTTCACAAAGTTAAATGTATATTTCTGTGACAATGGACACAGGACTATGTTATCTTCAGTACCTGGGTAAAGTCTAATGGATTTGACATATCAGGAAATACAGATCTTGGTGCCTTGCCCTTGAACTAGAGGCAAGGAAAGCGATCACTTTGAGTATAGGCTTTGAAGGTGTCACAAGACACCAATTACCTATAGAATAAATGCAGAACTTGACCAAAACTCATGCATGTAACATCCAACAAATGAAATCAAGATCAAGGTTAGTACTTCAGCTTTTAGAGGAACTCTTCAAATCTGTTATACTTACACCCCAAAACTCCTCTCTCAAACTAGAGAGGATGCAGCACATCAGTGCATTTGGAGCACAGACCAAGACAAGAGGTAGAGAGGTTTATTTTAACTGGCTTCTCCAGCCAGCTGCTGACAGATTTGCCAATTCCTGCCCTAACTACAGAGTAAAATGAAGGGACTCAGCATTTTTGAGGTGACTTCTCTCATCTCCCCAGCATCAGCCTCTGTGAATTAAGAGGAGGTGCACTGGTCCACAAGCACCCCGTTTTCAGGGAATTTATAATCTGAACAACATTATTTAGATCAAATGGTTAATACAAAGTATTAATACAAGTACCTTCTTTCCTGAAAATGAGGGGAAGCTTTAGTCACTTGGCACATTTCTTCTACACACACTTAAGAGTTATGAAATGACTTAAGTATTTACAAACTTTGTTGTGATTAATAATCAGAGGCAGGGAGCTTTTAACACTGATGTGACCCAGTCTAAGTCACCATAACTGTGCCCTAAACATCAGCCTGAAGGTTCCCAGTTCTCTTCCACAGGCACGTCCAGAGTGCCCTGCTGACTTACCCTTCCATTACGCTTCCATCCACACCTCGGGCTGGAGCTGAAAGCCAGCACAGGAGTGTCCCCAGGGAAATGCACACAGGATCAGCAGGGAACTGACACCAGGAATGTTCAGGTGCCCTTCTGTATCTGATCAGGACAAGTATTCAGGAGCCTGTGAAGACTTTGAGTGATGAGGCATTTTCTAAGAGCAGTCAATGCCTGGTTGTCTCTGTGCCAGTGTCAGCTCATTGCTAGAGCTGCTCCTCTCACAATGGATTAGTATTAAAGGACAGGTCTGCAACCCTCCCCACCTCATTAATATTCATTTCAGATTTTAAATTCCAGTTACACAAGGACTCATGCCCAAGGCTTGATGCCTCATAAATTATATTCCATTTTTAAACCTGCAGCATTCCCTGTCATTGTTTCAGAAGGAAAACACTAGCAGAGACAGCTTTAGGCAAGCTGTTTTTGTTGAAAAGAATACTATCTAAAGCCCTGCTTTAACTTCATTAGCCCACAAAGATTTGCACTACAACGAATCCTGCCTGCAAAGCACAAATACAGCTGCCAGCAAATTTTAATTCTGTCAATATTCTGCTTTTGTTCCAGCTGCCACAGCAAGTGCATATAATGTCTGCAGCTGAATAAACTCACAAAAGGCAACTTACCAAGGGAAGACTTGAAAATAGCTACAACCACCATAAAAAACCAAATTAAGAGATAAAGTGACTCTGTACGTACTTTGTCTCCTGGCAAACATGGGTGGGTGATGTAGAGGATTTTGCATTGAGAGCTACCACATTACACAGCCAACCTGGCTTTGGTGGTCAGAAGAAAGGTCCAAAGGAGAAGAGATTGAGGCCTTCTCTGTAAGGGTGGGGGCCAATTTTTGGGTAGCAATCTCCTCCTTCTGTGAAATCCCAAGCCTTGGTACATAGGTCAACCTGACAGCATCTGGAACCTTCTAGTCTCCACTACTGAAGGAATGAACAGCAAAAGGAAAAACAAACTTTGCTCATTTTACCTTTACAAAAGGTAGAAGTTGCTGCAGCACAGATTTCATGTTCAACAGCCTGTTAGTTTAAAACATGGGGAGGTAACTGGAAACAAAATTATCTGACATCATTCTTCTCCCTGCCTTCTAAAAAGCTTCAGGAGGGAGAGGAGCAGACCAGGCTCGTTTCCCAACATGGGATGAGCAGGCTGACACTTGCATGGGATGAGAGATTTTTATCAAGCTCCTATTCTGCATCCTGTCATTTTTATAAAGAATTAACACATATCCTCTTGTCCACTCTGAGGCAGCCACAGAGGTGGTAATTACAGCCTCTCATTTAATGGTCCATTAACTAGAAGAGACATCATTAAATGAGTAAACCCCATAAAGTACACATGAAGCACATGAATATACATGTGGAAATCAGAATCATACAATCCTCTAGACTGAATATAAAATTCAAAGGTAAATATTTTAGCTGGATTTTAACTTTGGCAGCATGGATTGATGACTTTTTTCCCCCGTCTTTCAAATCACTGTCCCCTAACCAGGGCACAGATGGGGAAGACCAAGCACAGGAACAAAAGAACACCGCCTCTGGAGAATTCCTTTTTCCAACCACTGAATTTCTAGATATAAAGGAACTGCCCAACTCTGGGAGCAGCTGGAATAGCAGTATCCTTACTCCTCTGCAAGTGCAGCACCTCTCCAGTTACTCTCCTTGTTCTCCAACTGCCCTGCTCCCCTCCAGCTCCCACTGCTGAAGCAATGCACTGCTCCTTCAGTGACATCCTTCAGGTTTCCAGGTCATTCTCCCCAACAGCCTGACCACACTCACTGTTAATTCCCACCATCAGACCTTTCTCCATTCCCTAGCCAAATCCAGCTTGTCTTTCTCCTACCCTGTCCATTCCTGGCATGCTCTCTCTGGTCCCTGCCTCCCCCTCATGTGTGAGTGAGCTGCAATCACCTTCCTGCCTTTGCTATATAAGGAAACCCCACTGCAGCTCCAGTGCTGGCTAAAAAGGAAAACTGCAAGCCTGAAACCCCAGAAACTGAGATTACTGCAGTCACAATACAACCCAAGAACAGGCTGACAGTGGCCTTTTAAGTCATTGTGCTTTTGAGTATTGCTGCAGTCACAGAGTGCAAGCTGTCAAAAACCCATTAAGATTTCACAGCTTGATCAGCAAAAAAAGCACTGGTGAACTGAGAAGCAACAATCAACAATCAGTATTAATTAATCTAATATAGTCTCAAACCATCTGTTAGTCTCACAAAACATAATTTTTATGACTTCCTCAGATTCCCAATGTTCAAATAATGAAACCTCTTGTTTCCAAAGAATGCATCTGCAATACAGGCATTCAAAACAGAATGTCCCCCTGCTCTTTACCATTTCCTGTATTTTTATTTTTGATCTTTCTGTAGTTGGTAGGAGTAGGGTTCTGTTCATTTGGATTTCAAATTTTTGCAACATATTCACAGTCTAATAAAGATTTTAAAAGACAAAATATTTTGAGACTAATTGTCCTATGTACTATTGCCATCAGTCTCAACCACTGAACAGTACAAATTGTTCAAGTGTCTGTTTCCCCTTCCAAAGTCCTTTAACCTTTTATTTTTTTCCACAACTACATTTAGATGCACACGCAGGAGCTGTAAGCAAACGTGAGCTTCCCTGTTGCTAAGTAACTGTGTGCCAGAGCCTGCCCTGCCACTCTTGGAAGCAACAGCACCACAGCTGCCACGTTTGGAATTCGCTCAGCGCCAAGAAATGTAAGCTGAATATTTTGGATGAGACTCCCAATC